TAGTTTTAGTTTTGAGATTTTCTTGACAAACAGTTTTCTGGATTTTGCTAACATATAAATGCAGATATTTATTTATTCATTTATGGTTGAGAGATATTCTTTGATTTAATAGATTAATGAATATATATAACTAGTATTATTAGTATTATATTATTATATTATTAGTATTATACTATTATATTATTATAGCATTATATTATTAGTATTATATTATTATAGCATTATATTATTAGTATTATATTATTATAACATTATATTATTAGTATTATATTATTATAGCATTATATTATTAGTATTATATTATTATAACATTATATTATTAGTATTATATTATTATAGCATTATATTATTAATATTATATGTATAATTAATATATTATTAGAGGAACTAGTTCACTATAAAATATCTGCACTATACAAGTTAAAATTTGTTGGAACGACGACGAAAAAAAATCGTTTTCTATAAAAAGAAATTCAAGTGATTTGGTCCACTTTTCAAAAAGTTATTACCTTTCGTACGTTGTCCGAATATTTTAGCGAGCGACTGCATCTTCTCGAGCAGTATACCTGAGCAGTATATCTACAATACTGTTCGGTCAGCCCGCCGAAAAGCGAGAAGGAACGGCATATGGTATTCCAGTGTGTTGCAGCTGCGCCAAAGGCGGCATGCATCGACGTTAATCTCGCAATTTCATTAAAAGGCGACCGTATAAGCGAACGGGATCGTCAACGTTGCGTAAACTGCAACGAAATAGTCCCGTAACGAGGTTAAGGATTATCCAGGCGGTGTCGCCTGTTTCGGGTTTATTTCCCCTTCGTTTCGCATACCAGAATTTTCGTTACTTACCTAGAGGTGGTCTACGGTCTCACCTTTTCGCCAAAGAGAAAATTTCATTACGGGGACTTGAACTACCTTGTTCGGGGCTACCGAGTCGGTAGCCGGCCCGATTGCAGCATCCTCCGACAGAATTTCATTTTTTAATATCGCAGCTACTTGGTAGTAGCAGATCGAGAAAAATCTGCCTCAAGTTATTTTTACTAGCTTTCGTCGTTCATTTTTATCGTTATATAATGCATACACTGAATTATGAATTATAATTAATAATGAATAATAAAAATACTATTAAAATAATAAAAAACAATAATTATAAGTAATAAGTTATAAATAATATTGAGTTTATATTTAGAATTAGAATTTAGAATTTTAGAATTATAAATATAATAATGAATTATAATGAATACACATTCGACCGAAGCGAATGTAACTAGGATCTTTCGAATGCAAAAGAATCGAAGCAGTAGTTGCTCTCTCTCTACGATTAATTTTAACTATTTAGAAGCATAGATGACAATTAAATCCTTTACAATGACGAAGAAACTTCGAAGTCGATTTTCTCGAAAACGGGGCCCCGGATAGAAAAATGTTACACCCAATTTATTTCTTACTTTTTTTTTACGTAAAATCACTCTCTGCTGTACCACGAATTCCGATCCACTGTGTATAAATAAATTAGAATGCATTTATAAATACTTTTACGAACACAAAATTCTTTCACGCTGTTATTTAATATCATTTGTTAGAATCACCGTTGGGATTATTTGTTCTTGTATGAATTAAAAACGGTGGCAACGGAGCATAAGAATAG